GCAGGAGGACCAGCCCCTCACAGCAGGCCAGAGGGATGGGGTCTTAGGCTTAGGGCTGGAGGTGGGGACCTGTGGGAAGGAGCCCAGCTGTGCCCTCACAACCCCCCTGCCCCGTCAACACTCTTGCCCAGTAGGAGGGCAGGTGGGCAGGTGGGGGCTCCCTTGCTCAGATCTCCTGGTGGCCTGGGGCTAAGTCAGGCCCTAATCCACTCAGCTCTCCTTTTACAGAGAAGGTGAGGGAGAGCCGGGCAGGCAGGCAGCCCACCTTCTTTGGGGTAGGGGTAGGGGTAGGGGTAGGGGCATCAGGGGGAGCAGGACAGAGGCGTGAGGGCCTAGGAACACCCTCAGACAGGAGGTGGGGGTCTCATGGCAGACTGGCCCTGGATCAGCCTCCACCTTCTCTTCCTCCCTACGTGGTGGGTGAGCACCCCAGCACGGCGGCCCCAGCCCAGGCCTGCCTTCCTGCCTGTGCCACGCATGCTCCCAGGGCCCCACCAGGCCGTCCTAGCTAGGAATGGGGGGCTGCAGACTGGTGAGTTCAGTGGGGCTGGCAGGGGTGGGGTGAGGACTAAGGTGAGGCAGCCAAAAGACTCTCCCTCCTGCTTTGCGACCAGAAGGAAGAACTCAGCAGGCTCCAGGGAAGGTTCCAGGCAAGGATGGAACCACCCTGGGTCCCACCTCTGCTCATGACTCACTGCTTATGACTCCCTCCCTCCTCACCTCCCCAGCCCCTTTCCCTCCATCCCTGTCATGTGGGGCCACTGCCAAGCCTCAAACTCCCTTGGATGCCCAAGTGGCTGCCATGGCCAGGAGGTGGGTCCAGGGCGGGGCGGGACTGAGCTGGGGTGAGTGGGCCCCCGAGGCTCTGATGGAGGTCCTGGGCCCCTGAACCCAGGCAGGCTCCCCACAGCAGGGAAGGCAGTTCTAGAATCCTAGGCCAGCGGGAGCGGCTGGCTGGACCCTGCCGTGGGTGGAGGGAGAAGCCAATGAAAGGGCCCTTTACACAGTGCCACGCACAGGAAACCATTCCAACCACCAGAATGATCTGGGAAAACTGCAGTGACCTGTGGGCTCTCTGGGCTCACCAACCAGCGTGGCAGCTGGCGTGGCTTCAGGGTGGAGGAGGGTGACAAGGGGACCCGCTGATCCCTCCCACCCAGCCACTCCCCCTGGTGACGGCTGGCTGCGCGCCCCGGGGCAGGCACTTTCTCCGCAGTATCTTGGATCTTCCCACAAATCTGGCTTGAAGCCCTGCGGGAGGGTTTCCCAGTGGCCAGTCCTGCAGTGCCCCCTGCTGTCCCAGCCCCCAGCAACAGGCAAAAGGAGGGTGGTAGTGGGGGGGCCCAAGTCCCTCTGAGGAGCTCAAGTGTCACCATCCACAGAGGTGGGCGTGGGGAAAGCCAACATCCCCAAGACTCCAGAGTCAAAGACCGTCTCATCGTGGTCCCTGCCACCACATCTATAATCTGGCTGCCCAAAGGGCTCCGTGTTTAATTCAGTCAGTCCTGCTCTCTGGGGTGGCGAGGGGGGGGGCTCCCCAGCGTGGGTGCTGTAAACAGCTCCTAGAAGCCTCTCCCCTTGTCCCCGGATTGCCCCCTCCCACTCTCCACTCCAGGGGGATGGGGGCAGTCGTGAGCGCCTTTTACCCAGCCAGCCTGCCCCCTTTTGGGGGGACAAAAAGGCCAAGAGGAAAGAGCCGTAGAGCCCCTGGAGGGGAAAGCTTGAGAAAGCTGGAAGGAAACCGCAGAGGCAGTGCCAGGCCTGGGGGAGTGAGCTTGCCCCGGAAGTGCTGACGCCCCCGTGGGAGAACCCAGGACCTGAGCGCAGACAGCAGAGCAGGGGATCGTGGGCAGGCGGGCAAGCCCTGCGAGCCTCTGGGGGACCCCCAGCGGGACGGAGAAGCCCCGGTGACTGGGGGGCCCGGGAAACCGGCCAGCGGCACATTTGCTCTCCTGCCCGAGAACAAGAGAGAAGAGGACCAGCAGCGCCCGATCAGGAGTAAGGACATAAGGAAAACTGTCCTGAACTCAGAGGTGCTCCCAGTGTGGACCTGAAACGATCCGCAGCTGACTGTGGGACACGAAGAGATTTCAGCAGCCGGCTGGCGAGGGAGAGGAGGGTGAAGCGCGTCACCGTGGCCCTGTCCTCCTTCCAGAAGCCATTGAGAGTTACTAATAAAAATGCACGAAGGAAGCTTCAAGGGCAATTTTATTTATTTAATTTTTATGAAGATTTTATCCATTTATTCATGAGAGACAGAGAGAGAGAGAGAGAGGCAGAGACACAGGCAGAGGGAGAAGCAGGCTCCATGCAGGGAGCCCAAAGCGGCACTCGAGCCCAGGACCCCGGGATCCCACCGTGGGCCGAAGGCAGGCACCAAACCAGAGCCACCCGGGCATCCTGCAAGTGCAGTTTTACTAGGACTTCACCTGTCGGGGACCTGCTTCTCCAAGTGGGGAGCTCCTCATCTTGTTAAGGGTTACACGGTTATATAAGAGGAGCTGTTGCTCAGTCCATCTTTTTTTTTTAATTTATATCTTTTTTAAAAAAAATTATGATAGTCACACACAGAGAGAGAGAGAGGCAGAGACACAGGCAGAGGGAGAAGCAGGCTCCATGCACCGGGAGCCCGACGTGGGATTCGATCCCGGTCTCCGATCCCGGGTCTCCAGGATCGCGCCCTGGGCCAAAGGCAGACGCTAAACCACTGCGCCACCCAGGGATCCCTGCTCAGTCCATCTTATCCGGAAGCTCTGATCGTGGTTTCCAACTGTGGTTAAGTCCAGGACCAAAAAGTTGTAAGTGACACAAAGCGGCCCTGCAGCGGCCGTTCTCCCAGTCTGCGGAGGAGCAGGAACCGGACCAGCAGACTCGCCCTTCTCCGGCTGGGGGCGCCGAGGGGGCTCCTCATGGAACCCCTCTGGGCTCCCGCATCCTCAGTCTTCCTCAGTCTGTAGGATGGCGACTGTACCCAGGACGCAGGGCTGTTGGGAAAACCTGATGTCGCCCCATCCTGAGGGTGTGCGCGAGGTCACCCTGGTTCTGGTGGCTCCAGCACCCCCCTCCCCTACCTGTCTCCACAAAGCCTCCCCACCTGTTTCTGAAAGTTCCTGGTTTCACCAGTGCTCAGGAACTGGGGAGTAAATCGGTCTTCCCTAGGACAGCCCACTGGCCGGTTCAGAGAGTGTTGTGTCATTGGTCACTCCAGCGACAATGGTCTTTTCTGATTTCTTACAGAGTTTCTTACAGAGTGGGAAGAGGTTTGCTCCTCCACTGTGTTCCATTTGGTTCTGCATCAAAAAGGCGCCTTTTCCCCCCAGAAGCACTGTCCTATCCCCTAGGGCCTGCGCTTCCCCAGGTACCTGCCCTTGCACCCCCCCCCCCCCCACAGCAAGGCAGGAAACCCTGCTTCATCCAGTCCCGCCCACAGACACATCTGTGTGCACATGGTGGGGAGCCTCCGTGTCCCAAATGCACCCAGGGTCAGCCTGGACCACACTCTGCCAGCAGTGGTGGTGCTTGCAGGGCCCCCTTTTTTTCTCCCTGGACTCTTGGGGACCAGATGTGTCCCAGAATTCACAACTTTTCTGAACAGAGAAAGGTCACGTGCGGCCTGTCCTATGTGCTAGATCTCGGTCCCAGCAGTGTGTAGCCGCAGAGCCACTGTGTCCAGACTCACGCGTCCTGCCTCAGGTCAGGTCAGGTTTTGCCGCTAAATGTGACTGTGGCAAGCTTGGGACAAATGCTTTGGTTTTTGGAACTCTTTAGAATTACGGATAAAGTTTAGAATTATGGAAAAGGGATGGAGGGTATGGTTCTGGGTACGGTTGAAAGTCCCCTGTTCCGGGGAGACGAGGAAAGCTGAGCATTTATTTTGCACCGACGATGTGCTCCGCTCATGCATTTCTGGCTCTTCTGGCTAGGCCGTCCCACTAAGGGGTTGGGTGCTGGTGGGCCCCGGCCTGGACAGCCTGGACTCCAGGCCTGGACCTCCCCTTCGGGGGGAAAGGTCGGCTCTGCCTGACTGGGAAACAGAAAGCAGCCACTAATGTGTTTACCCAAAGCCCAGAGCAGGTGGGAGGTCCATCTGCTAATCTCTCCCAGCTGCCTCTCCCGGCTGGCACCACGGCCCAGAGGAGCCAGGGGCCCAGGAGAGGCTGGGAGGGGCTGGGCAGAGCCCTGGGGACCTGTCTGCTGGGCCCTCCTCCCCGTGGTGGAGAAAGAGGCCTTCCTCCAAGTGGAGCCCGCTGAGTCCTCCCTTCCCATCCCCTCCTCCCCAGCCGGATGGCCAAGAAGGCACTTCCTGTCTCAGCAGCAGCGACAATGAAAACCCTGGGGCTGTTCTGGGTCCTTGAACCTGTCCTGGCTCCAGGGCAGGGAGTTAAGTGGAATGGAAGCAGGATGCTTGAGACTCAAGCCGTGTCGCCCTAGGGCTGGGACATCTAATCTGCTTTAAAATCACCCCTTTTCCCAAGCAGCCCCCCCCACCACCTCACTGGGCCAAAAACTTTGGCTCCCCGGCCTCGAATACGCCTGGAATCCCACCTAGCTTCCTTGCATCCTGGCTTTGCCACCGAAGCCAGAGAAGTGATGACTCGGGAATGAAAGGTAAGCAATGGGGGGTGCGGAGGTGGGGTGGGGGTGGCTGGAAATGATTCATGTCCATCCATCCACCCACCCATCTTGCCGTTCATTCAGTCATCCAACCCACGTTCACCTAGCCTTCCTAACGTGCCAGGTGAAGCGTCCCTCACAAAGGAATGCCCGTAGCACCGGACACTTACTAACTAGCCTGTCCCTGACAGAGTCCTCTCCTTGTGCCAGGCAGTGGGGATTGCTGGTGAAGCTAAGGTGAGGGTTGGATAAATTGTACGCCCCTGCACCCGGGGAGCCACCCCCACAGGAAGGAGGCCCCCCCCCCCGTTTTAGTGGGCACACCACGAAGGCAGCAGTGCAGCTGGCCCTGAGCCACCTCCAAGCACCCTGGTTGGGCCCTTGCTCTACATTTCTGCCCCTTTGGGAAGGCCGGGAGGCTTGAGCACAGAGTCCGCCGCCGTGCCCTCTGGCCGCGACCCCAGGGTGCAGGGCAGGTGGGCGTCGTGGATGACCTCTCGGACGGTGGCCCGGAAAGTCTTGCTGACAAGGCAGTAGAGGCCAAAGTTGACGGCGGTGTTGAGCATGGCGGCCATGTTGGCCACGTCCAAGGCCAGGTGCACCCTCCAGTCCCGGTGGACAGGGGCCACGTACAGGTGGTAGAGCATGACAAAGATCCGGGGCGCCCAAAGGAGCGCGAAGAGCGTGGTGACGCCCAGGAGGATCGCCGTACTCTTGCCCACCCGGGGCCGCGGGCCACCGTGGCTCCTCCTGCGCAGCCGCCAGATGATGGCCGAGTTGGCGGCCAGGAAAACACCACAAGGGATGAAGTAGACGGTGAGGCAGTGGGCCCACTTGAGGACCTCGTCCAGCAGGCTGGGGGCGTCCGCGTCCCGCCACACGTCCAGCCACCAGTAGAAGGGGATGCCCGTCAGCAGGGCAGCTCCGAGGACGGTGGCGATGGCCCGGCGGCTCCGGCCCGGGGACGAGGCGGCCCGGTGGTGCAGGGGGTGGCACAGGGCGCTGTAGCGGTCGACCGTGAGCAGCACAGCGATCCACACCGAGGCGTGGTTGGCGGCAAACTCCAGGATGTTCGCCGAGCGCACCACGGCCCGGGGCACCTCGCGGGCCAGCACGGCCCCCTGCAGGAGGAACCCCACGAACACGATGACCACCTGCGTGACGATGTCCGAGGCCGTGAGCGCCAGAAGGTAGTAGTAGGAGGGCTTCCTGGTCCTGGCGGCCAGCCGGGCCAGGGCCACCGTGGTCAGGAGGTTGACTGATGACGGCAGAGGTCGCAGAGGGCAGAGGGCAGAGGCGTTAGAAGGGCAGCTCAGCCTACATTTCCGAGGCGTTATCATCGTCCCTCTCTGCCTGCTGGGCCGGGCTCCTCTTTTCCTCTTTCCAGATGCTTCTTAAAGCTCACTTTATCAGGGAGGCTAACCAGACCAGGCCTGCCCTGTCCATCCGTACACCACAGGCCACTGACTTCACCCCGGGGCAAGGCCTCTGCCTTACACACAGGCAGGGGTGGGTAATCCCCCAAGGCTGAGACCACCTGTCCTTTCCTGCCTCCACTTCCCCACCTGCCCCCTAGCTCTGTTGCTTTTGGAATCAGTGGAGGGTACGGGAAGCTTTCAACCAAGCAGCCCTACATGAGCCTAGTCAGCCGAGCACAGTACCCACTGCTGGTGGGGGGGGATGGGGGTGGCTCTCCCTTCTGGTGAAACCTCAGCTTTAGCCGCTGAGCACCCCAAAACCTGGCCGCTCACTTTTACTCCCCGCTATGCTTTGCTCCCCAAAGACCCGGATTGCCCTATAAAGTCAAAGGGTATCCTGGTGTCTAAGATTCTGGGTCTCAGGGGTCAGCACAGAGGATGGGCACCCACGGAAGGAGGACTCCTCCCATTTCTGCCCACCCCCAGCTCCCCAACCCCAGCTTCCCCACTCACCAGGCAGCCCCAGGCCCAGCAGGATGCTGTAGTAGATGACAGGGATGACACCAGCCACACACGGGGACCTCCCTGGGATTTCTGGCCAATGGCCCTCCAACTCCTGGCTTGGCCTACTGCCGTTGGCTGTGGGCAGCAGGGTCGCTCGGAGCGGGCCGGCTAGGGAGGGCGGAAGGGGGGAGTGGGGGTTCGAGCTTTAGGTCTCTCTCCAGCCTGCCCCTGCCCCTGAGATCTATTCACCCCTACTCTCTGAACACACCCTGGTCAGGCCCAGCAAATGACAATCCCTACGGCCTGGTCCACCCCACCCCTCCGTGGCCTGACGCCCCTGTTAAAGGGAAGAAGTCCTCCGTGGCGTTTTTGCTGCCGTGGACACTATTTCTTCATTGTGTTGCTGGAGGTACCCCTTCTGCCTGGGAGGCAGGGCCCTGAAAGAGGCTGCAGGCACAGTCAGGGGGGCAGGGGGGCCCCGTTTCAGCATACAGATTCCTGGGGCTCTGCAGGCAGGCTGCGCGGCGCTCCAGAGCGGGGCTGGGGCAGCTGTGTCTTTAGTGAGCGGCCCGGGTGATTCTCACCCACGGTGACTCACAGCGGCCACCCGGCTCTCCTCAACAGCTGCCTCGTCTCTACGGAGGGACATTACTAGGTTTCCTGCTCTTCGTCCCTAAAGAGCAGCCCTCCTCGTAGGTTAGCAATCCTGGAGCTGGGATGACCCTGGTTTTCAGACCGGGAAACCGTCCAAAGGCGTGAAGTGACCACATACTCTGGCCCTTGCTCCTCTCAGCCCACACTTTAGGTTTTTGGTTTCAAGGTCCAGCTTTAGATTTCCTGCTGAAGCCCCCCACCCAGTCGTCCCTTCCCCTCTCCCCACCCCAGCTACACCTAGTTTCCCTGCCCCCCACTCATGGGTGTTCAGCTTCAAGCTTCTTGATTCCTCACCTGTTCCTCACCTGCCTGCCACCATCCTCCCACCCTCGTTCTGGATACTTTACCTGTCTCCTGCCCCTCAAGCGTCATGCTCCTGGGTCCCGAGTCCTAGGTCACCTCGTGGCTTTTCTGGGGGTCCACGCGGCTCCCTCCCGGCATCGCCAGCTCTCCAAGGGGTGGTTTGGCCCACGATTCTTCCCGCAGCACTGAGACTGAGCCGGTCAGTGCAGAGAGGTGGGGTGGTGGGAGGAGGGAGGAGGAGGAAGGAAAGGGTGGGGCCGAGGCTCAGGGGAATGAGTCTACACAGTGGATGCTGCCTGGAGCAAACTGGGATCCCCCAGGGTGCTCAGGCTGGGGGGGGGGGGGCTTGAGGAGGTGGCTGGCCTGGGGCTCTGGATAGGCTGCCCTGTGCCCCAGGGCACTCTGGGGACTGGCCTGGGCTCAGGCGGGGCATTGACACGCTGGGTGCCAGGACTTCAGGATGAGGCAGAAGGATCCCGTCTGTGTCATCAAAGAGAGAAGGGCATAAAGGCGGGAGGCGGGGGGGACCCAGTGCAGGGTAGGGGTGAGGCTGCCATGGGCAGAGCCCAGATCTAGAGAGAGGCCTCACACGCCAGGTTTGAAGGATTCAGTCCTACGGTGGAGGCAGGGGGTGGGAGGAGGAGGCTGCCTGGGGGGTTTGGGCCTGGAAGGGTGGCAGGAAGCCGTGGGCCGCGATGGCAGTGGCCATCAGGAGAAGCCTGACCAGGCCGCCAGTAGCCCTGGGAATCCAAGACCCAGAGGCCCCCACGAGCTGTTGTTTCCCTTGCTGTGGCGAAGTGGACCATTCCCCCAGGAATATGCAAATAAACAGCAGCAGGTGCAGCGAGCACTCTGGTGAGGCTGGAATCTGTGGCCACTGGCTCCCCCCAGCCCTGTGAGGAAATGACCAGTGCAGCCCACAGTGGGCGCCAGGGACAAAGACGTGGTGGCCTGACTCCAGTCAGGAATCACCTGCTGTGCCCATCTCTGGGAATGAGCAGAGCTTCTGGACTCCCTAAGATAGAGCCCAGGTCTGGCTCTGAGGGTCCAGCCCCAGCCCACTCCCACCTTCACACCCACCCTGGGCTAACACAAGGGACTTGTTGCCCCCTGGTGGCTGTGCTCTGACCCTGCACAACTCTGACAGTCCCCGGCCTTGGGCCAGGTCCTCTGGGTGGCAAGGTAGGACCAGAACCAGCACGACCCACTCAGATCCCCAGGCTGTGTCCGCCCAGGTCCAGGGAATTCCAGAAGCCCAGGTAATTCCTCAGGCCACCACCTCCCTGCACCAGGAGGCTGTGGGTGAACGAGGAGCTTGCTGGCAGCCACGTTGAAAGGACCAAGCGTGTTCCCGAGCACTTACTCTTGTTCCTACAATTGTCACCCTCACGGCAGCCCCACAAGCTAACCCTGGCGACCTCCATTTCACATAAGAGGGGACGGAGGCTCAGAGAAGTTCAGCAGCTTGGCTAGGGCCACAGAGCCACTGTGTGACAGTGGGAATTTGAATTTTTTAAATTTTATTTATTTATTTATTTATTTATTTATTTATTTATTTATTTATTTATTTATTTATTTATTTATGACAGTCACACAGATAGAGAGAGAGAGGCAGAGACACAGGCAGGGGGAGAAGCAGGCTCCATGCACCGGGAGCCCGACGTGGGATTCGATCCTGGGTCTCCAGGATCGTGCCCTGGGCCAAAGGCAGGCGCCAAACCGCTGCGCCACCCAGGGATCCTGACAGCGGGAATTTGAACTGACGTTTGTTGCTCCCCTAAAGCACTTGTCACTCCCTCATGCAACCTGTCCTGGAAGAACAGGTGCACAGGCAGGAAGAGGCCACGGAGGGCTCAGGCTTTTGGGAGGAGGGGATGTGGGTCATACAGAGCACTCAGATAGGGAGGGGCATTGCAGTGTGTGTGTGGGGGGGTAGCGTGGTAGAGGTTGCTGGGGCTGGAGAGTGGATGTGCCACCATAACGGGACAGCCTGGCTTCCCGGAAGCTTTCAGTAGCCTGTGAGTTACTTCAGGGAAATATTCCTTTTTGTTTATTATTAGTGTGTGCCCCCCCACCCGAGTACACGGGCCTGGAACCTAAACTCATGATCCCCTGCTCCCCAGTCTAAGTGCTGAAGGCACCCCAGCTCAGGAAGGCAGATGTTACAGATGTAAGGGAGCCTGCACTCTAGGTAGGGCTGGGTCTGGGGGCCCACTGCTTTGGGGTGAGTATTGCCCCCATCCAGCGTCTGATCACCCATTCTGCAGATTCAGAAAACCTTCATCCTGCCCCAAGCTTGCGAGAATTTTCAGTGGCTTTCACAGCACTAGAAGTTCCTTGCCCATTGGGAATCACATCAGTCTGAAATAGCTTCGCATATAGGGATCCAGTGGAGGGTCATGGGAAAAAAAAAAAGTCAAGCAGAAAAGTGGCATTTGAACTCAGGCTGCCGTGAGATCTCAGACAAGTCACTCAGGTTATAAACACGCTTTGTCTCAGGCAGGAAGTAGCGCTCCTCTCTGGGAATTGTTCTGGCTTGTGAGCTCATCAGACTCGCTCTCAAGGAAGGATGGAGCTTCCAGATCCACAGGGCAAAATAAATCCGAGTGTCTCAGATCCTCGGTCTCAACGGCTGTGCAGGGCAAATGCCCTCCTTTCTCTCTCTGGCTCCAAGACTCTCGCACACTACACACATGATGCATGTGTATGTGCACACACACACACACACACACACACACACTCCAGCAACTCTCAGACTAAGAAGCGGAGAACAGAGAATGCCTATTTCTGGAAAGCCACTTTCCAAGTCATTAGAGGGGGTTCAGGGACAATGAAGTTAGCAATTTTAGGAGGTGGGGTTTGAGGTGACCCTTCTGAGTCGTCTTTTTTTTTTTTTAAAGATTTTATTTATTTATTCATGAGAGACACAGAGAGAGAGAGAGATTGAGGCAGAGACACAGGCAGAGGGAGAAGCAGGCTCCATGCAAGGAGCCTGATGTGGGACTCGATCCCGGGTCTCCAGGATCACGCCCCAGGCCGAAGGCAGGCGCTAAACCGCTGAGCCACCCAGGGATCCCCTTCCGAGTCTTCTTGGTAATCTGGGGCCGCCCGATCCCTGCACGCTGGAAATGGCATCCATCTAACTCCAGCAGGTAAATCTTAGCTTGGAGCGTACATGACAGTCACCCAACGTGCCTAGAAAATTACAGGCGTCCTGGCGTCTGAGTAGAGCACGAGAGATTGCGACACAGGTGGACTATACCTTCTAGAAAAGCAGATGTAGCCCCAGGGAAGCTGGAGTTATGACAAGAGTTTACTGAAAGCCAGGTTCCCGAGTACGGGGTTCTCTTACCAAAGTCTCTTTATCGACGATAACGTTCTTCCCGGAAAGCACTGCGCGTGGAAGCAGGGATGCTCCGAGGCCCAGAACCCCCTCACACTGCGCCTCTGTCTTGCTGGGCCGGGCCGGGGAGGTGTACAGTCCACGGGAAGGGCAGGCAGGCAGCCAGGGGATGGTGGATTTGGACAAGGGGAGCCAGGCGTGAAGGTCAGGGCAGCCGGGAGGGGTTTCCGCTGGGCTGGATGGCTCCGTCTCTGCCAACCCGGACGAGGCAGGTGCCAGACCCAATTCTTGCTCTCTCTGCAGCTCTGGAGAGGGGGGGTGGAGCTGTCGGCGCCTCTGTGCCAGCCGGGAGCAGAAATCAATGCATGGAGCTGGTGCCTGGGATCCAGAGAGCAAGGGAGGGCAGGCTCCATCCCAGGTCAAGGACCCAGCCTTGGGGGAAACTGTGCTGGATCTCTGGGTCCATCGATTCATCGAGCTTAAAGGACTCCCTCCCTGGAAGAGCTGGGCCAGGCCCTACTTGCTGCCCAAAAAGGTGAGGCCTCGACAGGACACACGGACACACCTACTCCCCTTGGGCTCTTGACACCCCCCCCCCTTTTCCTTTGGATTTAGAAGAGCACTCCTCTGCACTAACCCAGTCGAGATGGTGACCTAGCTCTCTGCCTCAGTTTCTCCTACAGTCGGGGTGGGATGTTGGGTCTGCTGTGTGCATCCTTGGAACTCTGGGAAGGGAAGCCTTATATTTGGAAGTTAGAAGCTGGTAAAAGAAGCCTTCTAAGAGGTAAGCGGAGAGACCTGAGGCACTGGGGAAGGTGAATTAAAGGAAGTGACAGGGCAGACAGGTGGGTACTTCAGCATCTCCGGCTCCTAGCCCAGGTTTGTACTGGTTGGGGGGTGGGGGTAGGGAGTGCTCTCTGCCAAGGGCTAGCCTCTTGCAAGGTGGCCAGCCCGGCTCTGGGCAGAGCATTTCCCATGCATGGTGCACGGTGCAGGGTGCTAGTGCTCTGTGCCCGGCCCCACCATCCTAGCTCACCTTCATCCTGGGGGATGACGGTCACAGTCCCCAGGGGACCCTCCCCAAAGGCCCATCACCCTCCCCAGGGCATGCCAGGGCCGGCCTCAAAGGGGAACGTGAAAGGATCACCAGTTATCCCATGGGTCCCTACTGGAGACCCTTGCCCTGCTCTCTGAGAGCTAGGCCACCCCAAAATGGAAGAAGGGGAGGGATGGGGGCCTGAGCCGCTGCTTCCCACTTCTCCTCCAGGCCCTCCCTTTGCTGCCCGCTCACCAAGGCACTTTAGCCAAGCTGCTGCCAAGCACGCTCTGTGCCAGGACAGAGACTGGGCCTGGGGGTTGGGGGAGGGGACTGGGGACCCTCTGGGCCAGCAGCTGCCAGAGGTCCTGGAGCCCCTGGCCTGCCCTTTGGAGAGCCTAAACCCCCCAGGAGACAACCGGCTAGCTCTGCTGGGTGGTGGAAGACGTGGGGGAGCTCGCCGGATCTGTCCCCCTTGGGGGCCCGCGGGCCACACAATAGCCCCAGGCTGCTGCTCCCTGGCTTAAGTGGTTGCCTGGGCAACAACTGGGGCCAGTTTCCACCAATCCTCGGCAGAGGCTGGATGGGGGGAGGGAAGCTGGCCGGGAAGGGGGGCACCATCCCTTGTGCTGAATCCTATATAAGGAGGAGGGATGTGAGCGCAGTGGTCTGGGCTTCGCTGCCCCTCCAGTGAGCTCAGGGGCGGGGCACGAAGATGCTTCGCTTGGGCTGTGCCAAGCCTGGGTCCTGGGCCAGCTTCTGGGCCGTCCTTGACCTTGGTGGGTCTGGCCACTCGAGCCGGTGAGTGGGCAGTGGGTGGGGTGGGGTGGGGGTGGAGGGCAGGGAGGAGAGGCCGGACCTTTCGCCGGGAGGGGGCGGTGTCCAGCAGGCCGGGAGATTTGATCGCTGCGCCCGCCCGCCCGAGGAGGGAAGAAGGGCTGGGAGGCAGCAGGGGTCTTAGCGACAGGAAGACCAGCCCACCGCCCACGGCCGACAGGTGGCCCCAGGCAACCGTGGGATGTGACCGGCCTACCCACCTGGCCCTCACCCTCCCCTTCTCCTGCTGCCTCCCTTTCTGTTACACACAGATGCCCTGCTCTCTGGTTGTCCCCACGGGCCAGGGGCCTGCGCGTGTGCGCGTGTGTTCGGGGGGTGCTCGTCCGCTGCTCTCAGACACCCACTTAGTCTCCCTCTGAGGCTCCTCACACTGTCCTCTGCTTGGGGAAGCGGCTGGCAGCGTTTCCTGTCACTGAGTTCTCTGTGACAGGAGTGCATGTCCCCATCTGACCCTCACACATCCCTGGAAGCCCAAGGACCTGGGGTGGGCAGCCTGGAAGGGAGAGGCCGGGCTCGACACTCAGGTCCCGTGAGAGTCCCCTTCCAGCACCAGCACGTCCTCTGTGTCTTCTCTGGTCCCCCCACAAGCCACCTGCTGCGAGTGGACTTCAGCCTCAGAGGTCAGGACCCAGGAGGGCAGCTGGGCCTGGAAACGGCTTCCCCTCATGCTCTGCCTCCGTCGTCCCACTTGTGCTCTGGTCCCTCCCGACCCTCACTGCTCCCCGCACCCCCAGCCCATCCTTTTCTAGGGCCTCTGCAGGGCTGGCGCATGTCCTCTGGCTGGCTCCTTCCGTCACTTCCTCAGGGAGCCGTCTAGGATTTCTGCACCTCAAGCAGCCCTATCCTGACTACCGTCACTTCCTTATTTATCACAATCCCAAACTAAAGTGCTTATTTGTGTACTTACCGGCTGTCTAAGTTGCTGGTTGGTGCTTTTCTCAGGAGGTGAGCGCGGTGGGGTTCCTCGTCTGGTGCTCTGGCATCACGGAGACCAGTTTCCGGGCATTCTGTCCCACACTGGTTCATGATCTCTCCTCGCCAGGAATCTACCCCCCTTTTGCAGAGCATCCTCTCAGGGGCTGCTCAGAAAAAGGTTCATAAGCTTCCCCACTCGGGAAGTGCTTGTGTGCGTGCACGCTTACCTCTGCGTGCTCCAGGGGCAGAGACAAGTATGCACACAGCCTCCCCAGGCCCAGCCGCCCTCTGCCCACACCCAGGCACATGCGTCCCCAGCTGGTCCCTCTGCACCCCTGGCTGGCACCCCCGGCCCAGGGGCCTTCTCAGCGGTGCTGCCTTCCTTCCTGCTGCAGCTCAGAGAGCCGATGTTGGTGGCGAGTCCACGGGCACCTCCATCAACCACTCCCAGACGCTGCTCCAACGCTTGCAGGAGCTGCTGCGGCAGGGCAATGCCAGCGACGTGGTTCTGCGGGTGCAGGCCGCGGGGACGGACGAGGTCCGCGTGTTCCACACGCACCGCCTGCTGCTGGGCCTACACAGTGAGCTCTTCCGGGAGCTGCTGAGTAACCAGAGTGAGGTGGTGCTTCAGGAGCCCCGGGACTGCGCTGCTGTCTTCGACAAGTTCATCAGGTGGGCGCGGATTAGGGGAAGCCTTCCTCCCTTTCCCGGGCCCTGGCTTCTCCGCTCACCGGGTCCCAGAAGCCCTGGCCTCTCAGAAGACATTATGTGCATCCCCCAGAGGTCCATCCCCCAAGGTCTTCGCTTTTATTCGTCCCCTCTCCCCCTGCCCTTCCCACGAATCCAGCCTGACTCCTTGCCCTTGCCTGCAAGTCCCGTTGGCTCTGATGCCAGCTACCAAGTGCTCTCAGAGCTGTTTCCAAACCTGGTGTTGAGAGCTTTTAAAAACTGCAGATTCCCGGACCCTGGTCTCGGTCATCCGCTTCAGGTCTGGGGTTGGGCTCGGCAGTGATTTTTTTATTTTTTATTTTCAGGCCTCCGTGTGGTTTTAGCGTCTGGCCAGGTTTCCAACTGCAGGGCCAGGGGGAATAAGCCAGTGCTCTCACTCTCATCTCCTGCTCCCTGCCGGTGTGCTGTATGGGATGGGTGGGTGGGGGCACCATTCACACTCTAGTCAGAGCAAGTAACCTTGTTTTAACGGTTTAGACAAGATGGCTGCAGAATGCCAGGCAGCAGGAAGAGGCATAACACAGAAGGGGAAGGGTCTTCCCCCCCACCAGTCAGTTCTTTCAAAGAGGTCTTCTCCCAACCCCATACTGTGCCTCTGCTGAAGGTGATTGGCTAGAATTTAGTCACATGGCCATGTCCACTCTAAAGGAGGCTTAGAGTCATCTTTTATTCCCAGAAGCAAATAGTTGGGCTAAAATGCAGCCAGAAGGAGGAGCGGGGCGGGGTGGGGGGGTGTTGGTGCAGCTCTCTCTCCCGGCAGCTCTTGCCACATCCCCATGGAGCGTGGGGCCTGGCAAGAAGGGTGAGCGGAGGGATGGGAGCAGATGGGGACAGGGAGTGAATGAGCAAGAGCCACACCGGAAGAGATCCAGGGAGAAAGATGAGCTTGCAAGAAGGAGGGGGGGGGGGTAGAGGGAATTAACCTGTGTGGAGGGCCTGCTTTGTAGCCAGTCCAGTTCATTCTCCCCCAGCTGTCACAACGACCCTGGTAACCCCTCTCCCCGGACGATTAGCAGAAGGTTCAGTGAAGTTAAATGACTTGAGCACAATATGGATCTGAGCTCGGGGCTGTGAAGCCCAGGACCGGTGGAGCCTCGTCTGTCCTGTAGCCTAAGGCTCAGGGCCTAGTAGATGCCCAGTAACGACGCATCCTTTCCGTGTCCCCCCCAAGAAACGGTCCTTGAGAGGAAGATAGGAAGCCTCATGGGTGGGTGGGTGGGGCTGACCACAAGGCTCTCCATCCAAGGCTGGGTCCCCTTTGGGGGGGTGTCTAGGGGCATGGCGGGGGGGGGCGCCCTGACCCTGCCCCATCTCTGCGCCCCTCCCGCAGGTACCTGTACTGCGGTGAGCTGACCGTGCTGCTGGCCCAGGCCATCCCCCTGCACCGGCTGGCCACCAAGTACGGCGTGGCCTCCCTGCAGCGCGGCGTGGCCGACTACATGCGGGCGCACCTGGCGGGCGGCGCGGGCCCTGCGGTCGGCTGGTACCACTATGCGGTGAGCACCGGGGACGAGGCCCTGCGCCAGAGCTGCCTGCAGTTCCTGGCCTGGAATCTGTCGGCCGTGGCGGCGAGCGCCGAGTGGGGCACAGTGAGCCCCGAGCTGCTGGCGCAGCTGCTGCCCCGCTCGGACCTGGTGCTGCAGGACGAGCTGGAGCTGTTCCACGCGCTCGAGGCGTGGCTGGGCCGCACCCGCCCTGCCCCGGCTGTGGCCGAGCGCGCGCTGCGGGCCATCCGCTACCCCATGATCCCGCCGGCCCAGCTGTTCCAGCTGCAGGCGCGCTCGGCCGCCCTGGCGCGCCACGGCCCCGCGGTGGCCGACCTGCTGCTGCAGGCCTACCAGTTCCACGCCGCCTCGCCGCTGCACTTCGCCAAGTTCTTCGACGTCAACGGCAGCGCCTTCCTGCCCCGCAACTACCTCGCGCCCGCCTGGGGCGCCCCGTGGGTCATCAGCAACCCGGCCCGTGACGACCGCAGCACCAGCTTCCAGACACAGCTGGGCCCCAGCGGCCACGACGCGGGCCGCCGGGTCACCTGGAATGTGCTCTTCTCCCCGCGCTGGCTGCCCGTCAGCCTGCGGCCCGTCTACGCGGATGCCGCGGGCACCGCGCTGCCCCCCGCGCGCCCCGAGGATGGCCGGCCGCGCCTGGTGGTCACCCCGGCCAGCAGCGGTGGCGACGCAGCCGGCGTGAGCTTCCAGAAGACGGTGCTGGTCGGGGCGCGCCAGCACGGCCGCCTGCTGGTGCGTCACGCCTACAGCTTCCACCAGAGCAGCGAGGAGGCCGGCGACTTCCTGGCGCACGCGGACCTGCAGCGCCGCAACTCCGAGTACCTGGTGGAGAACGCCCTGCACCTCCACCTCATCGTCAAGCCCGTCTACCACACCCTCATCCGGACCCCCAAGTAGCCAGGCGGGCCGCGGCGGGGAGGGGTGTGCACCATCCGGAGTGCTCACGCCGGTCCCCTGGGTGGCCCGGTGCTGGTGGCCTCGGAGCTGGGGTGCAGGGTGGTGCAGCAGGTGCCCCGTTTCACAGCTGCTTCGGAGGCCGCGCTCTTGGTTGAATAAATCGATGCTCAGAGAGCGGAGGAGGGGATGATTGTACCACCCAGTTCCAGGTAAAAGCAGCCTTCCTAGGTATGGGGGTTCCCCCATCTTTCATTAGCTTTTACCCAGGGCCCCCACCCCCACCTGGAACAGGGCAGGTAAGAGCAACCACATGGGCCAGCCTGGGAAAAATGGGGGGGGGGCGGGGGGGTGACTCCAGGACCTCTTGCTTGAGTTTTCTCACCTTGAAGCCACGAGGCTTACTTAGCTGGGCAGTTTCCAAGCCCTGATTTCCAGAGGGTACCACCCCCCACCCCCGTCCGGGTAATTAGACTTTTTATGGTCTGAGCCACCCCAGGTCTCTGACCTCTCATGGGAGGGAGCCGAGGAAGGTGTGAAGGCTTGTGGGGTGGGGCATGAACGGACTTTGCCGGCCCCACTCTTCCTAGGAACCGGCTAGAGGAAAAACCCCTCCCCCCCCCCAGGTGTTTGTAGGTTGGTGCAGTGTAACCAGCCACAGGGGGATGGGGTGTCGGGGAGGGAGGAGGAAGGCAGCTGGGTTGCCTCTTAATCAGTCATGGCCCCCCTTACATTCCAGACAAGGTCTAGTTTCCAACACAACCATCAAGACCCAAATGGGATTTTATTGTTACACTGCCAAGTAACAAAACCAGATTCCCTCCTCTGCCCCAACCAGACTCTTCCGAAATGACTGTTTGCTCCTTCCCCAACTATCCAAGATGCCCTTGCCCCGGATGTGGGCTCAGGACCCCGTCCCACTAACAGCTCCCTTCCCCTCCCATCTCCAAGGCTGAGTCCGGCCCCAGGTCTCTACAGGGTTTTGGCAACAGGGTTCTATCCGGGGCTGGGAGGCCAGGAAGTCCTGTCATCCTGGCCATGCCTCCTGAGCTTACCTCCCTTCCCCAGTGGCACTGAAAGCATGGAGCTGCTGGGCAGACACCCTCATAATTCCTGGGTCTCAGGAGCCCCAGCTTTCTGAGAGCCTGAGCTCCTGCTCACAGGCAACCCCCATCTGCCTAGCCTCCATCTCCCATTTTCTGCTACACCCCATCCAGGCTTGGGGGCAGGAGGGCCGGTTCCAGACAGGACCCCTCAGGTATGCCGGAAGCGTCCGTCTTTGCCGTGGGTGCTTGTGCCGTGAGCCAGGCGGGGCCCATGGGCAGCCCGTCGGGAAATACCAGCTGGGTTGGAGTGAACAGTGAGGGGTGAGGAGTCCCCAGGGCCTGCAACAGGGGAAGGGCCAGGAACAGGGGTTTAGGAATTCCTCTCACTCCCTCTCGGGTCACCCCGTGGCCTTGAACTCCCTGGGGGCACAATCCCAAGATGCCAGTCTCACAGATACTCTGTGAGAACCCGGTTTCCAGCAATGGGTAGCCATAGGTACGGGGAGCTCAACATGCCTCCTCCCTGGGCTGGCCAAGGGCTCCCGTCCCCATTCCTTCCTTGGGTGGTACTGACCCGTGCTCTGGCTTGGAGGGAGTTTGACCTTGGCCAAAGGCAGCATGACCTTCCCCAGATGCCGGGTACCAGGGGCTGGGTGTCTGCACACTGGCACCCTGTGATCCAAGACACTCTCCATGGGACGGGGCCCTAGGAGGTGTGTCTTGGGGCGGGAAAGCTGTGTGGGAGAACAGTGAGGTGAGTCGGGGCTGTATGGGATCTGCTACACGGATCTGCCCTGTATGCCCGCCCCCCTGCATGCCTCCTATGCCAGCCTGGGGGACAGGGACTGAAGGTGTCCTGGGGCCTCTGGAGGAATCCAGCCCCCAGGTTCCCATCCACAGCAAAGGGGCGCAGACACGTCATCCCCCAGTCTTTCGTCTCACCCCTTGCCCCGTGACCTCAAAGGACCGGGACCTCCGCTTCCTCCTCTTGGCCTCCAGTGACTCCTCCCGTTTCTTGCCCGGGCTTTTCTTCTGGCCCCGCATCCAGGGCCCGGTGCCGTCGCCGCTGTGCCCGGCTGCCTGGGACGGGGCCTCGCCTGTGCTGCTAGACAGGTTGTCCTCACTGGCAGCGTGCTGCAGGGTGGGGCTGGGCGGCCGCTTGCAGGCCAGAGGGCCGGGTGGCTGCGAATCGTCAGCCTCGCTGGGCGAGTGCGGAGACAGGCTGCCGCGCTCCCGGGCGGGTGGCAGCAGGTGGCGCCCCTCGCTGCCCAAAGCCCGGGAGCGCCGCCGCGCAGCCTTCACCGAGATGCACTTGGTGCCGGTCAGGATCTCCTTCCTCTCTGCAGCGGGACGGAAGGAAGGAGCACCCAACCTGGGGTCAAGACCACATATCCCTCCTCCTCCCACAACCTCCCACCCCCTCCTTCTCCTGATAATAAGGGAGGACATGAGCAGATCCAGAAGGCCTGGGTCCCGATTCCAGCCCTCGCTTGCTATTTAAGAAACTTGGGGCAAATTTCTGAGCTTTACCTTCACCTGTAACTAGGGATGGTGAAACTAACCCTGTAGGGTTACTGTGAGGACTAACTGAGAAAATGGGCTTCGGGGTGGGGATTCCATCTATATTCGCTCTTAGAATTACTACTGGGTGGGAAGGGGGACAGGATCCTGAGTGCCATGTGCTCCCCATTCGGACTTCTGATTGTGTCCTCAGCCCTCTGTGCATCCTTGAGCAGGTGGCTAATCCTCTCTGGGCACTGGGGCCTCTGTATAGAATGGGTAGCTCCAAACGCTAGCCATTTGGTGACAAAGGGTGTCACCAAAGGGTGACAAAGGCACGCAAGGTGCATCCAGCAGCACACAGGGCACGGACTAGGTGATCTGAAGAGTTCAGATGCTGCTGGGCTCACGTTGACCGGGCTGGCAGGGGGCGCACCTTTGGAGGACAAGGGGATCTCCGACAGATTCTCGCTGCTGTCGGGGGAAGAGTTGATCTGGCTGCTGGGGCTGACCAGGCTGTCCTGAGTGGGGGCCTGCAGGTGAAGTGGTTGAGAAGACAAAGGCATTGGACCCACCAGGGGCCTCGTGTCTTACTCAGCAGAGACAGCGGGGCCTCAGGGGTGAAGGCCATCTTGGGAAGGCTCCATCCCAACCACAGGGTGTCTACCCTGTGCCCCCACCCCCGGCAGTGGTGCTCACCTCCTGGGTCACCAGGCTGCCGATCTGGATGGGGGGTGGGGTGGGCACAGAGGAGCTCTTCACCTGCCAGGCTCGAGGACTGGCTTTGAACACGCGGTTGGCTTCACTGAGGTTGGCAGAGGAGGAAGGCAGCTGTTGACTGGGCTGGACCCACTAAGGTCCCAACTCCACCCCAGGGTGGGGAGAGCTGTTTGTGTGACGGGAGAGAGAACCTAGGGGTCCTGGCTCCAGACTTGTGCCACCTTCTCCCTTTCATTCCTGCCCCATGGACTTAGCCCCAAACTGGGTTGGCATCCCTGGGATACGGCTCAGCGGGTGGTGGCTCAGGCTGGCAGGACTGGCCGGAAGCGGTCTCTGGCCTCACCTCTCGGCGCTGAGGGGAGGGAGGATGCTGTCCTGCAGGCGCTGGACTTCAGAGCTCAGCGTCTTCACATTCTCTGGGTCAGACTCTGGTGTCAGCGTGGTTCCTGCTGGGGTAATTTTGGGCAAGGAGCTGTCCTGGGGAGGGAAGGCGGCAGAGGGAGGACAGTCAGAAGACTTGGTCTTGGACCAGGTGATGGCAAAGGGTGACAAAGGCACGCAAGGCGACTAGGGCCTAGGTGTGGGGGAGGAGAGCAGTGGGTTTGTATTCTGGCTCACAGGGGATAAACTGGGGTCTGCTAGGCATCCCTAGTAGCACCGCCTGATGGCCTGGTCTCCTGGGGGGTCGCTTGTGATTGCTCAGATAACCAATCCTGACCCTCAGACTCCGGGTAGGGACAAGTGCCAGAGAAGAATGCCCTGGGACAGGCACCTTACTTGGGTGAGGCTTGGGTGGGGTGAGAAGGAAGGAGGGCTAAGTCCCTGGGGTGCCAGCCAGCCTGGTCCCATCCGCACCCCAGCGACCTGCAGGCACTGCCTGGGGCATCCCCCCCCTCCATCCCTACCTGTGCTCATGCCCGAGCCCAGGCCTGCCCACGCTCCCACCTGCAGGGCCCTGGAGGCCACCCGGTCCATGATGGTGGCCCGCTCCAGGCTGCCCTCCTCCATCTCCCGCAGGTACACTTCATACAGCTCCTCCAGGTGCTGCGGGACGGCCAGGTTGTAGTCTGGGGGGGGGGGGGCGGTGGAGAGAGGGACGGGCAGGGCTCAGCGCGTGCCCCGGGTCCCTCCGAGGGCCTCGGGGGCCCCTGGGTGGCTCGGGGCGCGTGGGGCCTACCGTCGATGACCTGGCGCTGGCCTTGGATGATCTCGTCGCAGAGGCTGCGGTGCTGCTCCAGGCGGCGCACGGCCTCGCGGCGGTGGCGGAGGGCGCCGTCCCGGAGCAGCGCGTGCGACTGCATCTCCGTGTTCTCCACCTCGAGCTCGTGCACGCGGCACAGCAGGCTGAGCACCTGGCGCTGCTCCTCCGAGCCGATGCGCCGGGGCAGCGTCTCCTCCAGGCGCCGGCCCCGCGCACGCAGCTCCCGGCAGCGCTGCTCCAGCGCCAGCTGGGGGCCGGGCGGGGGGGGGGGGTGTCAGCTCCGGGGCTGGTCCTAACCCCCACACCCGACCCCTCCAGCCCCCGAGCACCCTCCAGGCTGAAGCCCCATTCTGAGCCTAACCCTCAAACCTTCGTCTTGGGCCCCGCTACTAGGGGCTGCCCCCAAATGGCCCCTCTGGACACACTTTCTGGCCACCCTGAAACCATCTGCCCCTGGAATCAGCTCCATGGATAACGGCCCGACCCCAGTCCCTCTGACCCCTCAGGGCTCATCATGGCCCCCCAAAAGCCCCTGGTTTGCATATGCTCCAGAACAGAAAGAAAATATCCATTATCTGGAAAAACCCTAATTAAAATACTGACTACCATTTTTTTTTGAGTTCTTGGTATGCAAAAGGCACTGATTTAATCTC